TCAGGGTCTTCTACAGCTACGTTTCGTTGAGTTCGGCAGTAATAGTATTTCCATTCTTCCTGTTATTGTCCGCAAAGGGGGTTGGAGCGGTGAGGAAGAGGAAGACGACGAATGCGAGCCCGAAGCTTTGCCGAGTTTTGCCGAAGCGCACGCTGCATTGGCGAAAGTGAAGTTGTTCTTTTATGCGCTTAATATTAGTGAACGTGACGAGGAAAACATTTTGAACGTGGAAAGTGCTCTGTTTGGTCTAAAACGTAAAGTTTCGACAAACCAGTTGTCCATTAAAGACTTTTTTGGTAAAAAGAAGTAACTTTGAAAGAGAAACATTGTTTTTTTTAAATTTGTAATGCTTTCCCGCATCTATCGTTTTCCCGCATTCATCGTTTTTATTTCCCACCCCCGCCGAAAACGATGCATTGAGGTTTCACTGTATTCAGTTTCTCTGGAAGTTATGTGTCCAAGGAAAGCATGCTGCAGCGTGTCCTGTTCTGAGCTTTTCCACAGTGAAAACTTTTGAGACTCATCCACTGCACGTTTATGATCAGTTTTCCCAACATTGAATATAAGGAAAATACAGTAGAGTCCCAATTATCCAACCTAAAGAGGACTGAAGGATGATCATATAATAAAAAATGTCGGATATCATGGGAGACTGATGAAAGAGATGGGCAAATATGAACTTGATTTATAACTCAATTTGCAGTGTTATTGAATTGTGAAGAAAGTACAGTATGGCATACAATGATAAAATCCCACAAACAAAAATAGTACATAACATATGTAAATTAGGATATTATTTATATATATATAATGAGCCGGGATAGCTCAGTTAGTATAGTGACTAGCTACGGGCTGGATGGCCGGGGTTCGATCCCCGACGGAGGTAGAGGATTTTACCTCTAGCCTCTGAGTCCAGACCGGCTCTGGGGGCCACCCAGCCTCCTCTACAATGGGTACCGGGGTCCTTTCCCGGGAAACCACTTCTGATCATCTCTGCCAAGAACGTATATGAACAGGTCCCTGACAACCTGAAGAGGTTGGAAGGATCCTGTTCATAATATATGGACCTGTCGTCAGACAGAACACTACAAATAAATAAATATATATAATGAGTATTTGCTTTTGAGTCTTTTCCTTATCTTTGCTGCACGCTCACTCCAGTGCCTGAACAGTCGTATGCTTGTAGCAGCTGAGTACATTTTTATGTACTCGTTTGCCACAGATGTAGAAGGTGTATGGTGGGGGAATATGATTCATTCCATGTGTTGAATTGACGGTTGGACTTGATTGGAGCATTCTGTCATTGTGCATTGGATAAAACTGTCAAATAACCAAAGGTTAGATAATTGGGACTCTACTGTTAACACATTTTGGGCTGCTTTATATTGAGCCATATTGTATTGCTGTTCCAAGTCAAGGAACCACATTTTGTTGTTTGTTGTCAAGTTTATTTTGTTTCTGTAGGACTTGGAAGATTCCCTTCCTGCAGGCAGTTCATCACCTGGTACGGGTGGGAACCGTTCAAACTCGTTACCACCTCCTTCAGTCCCTCCACATTCCCTTGCAGCATTTGGTTTATTCCTGCGCCTACCTGGATATGCTGAAGTTCTGCTCCGAGACAAGAAGAAAGCTCAGTGTCTGCTCAGGCTGGTGCTAGGTGTTACAGATGATGGAGAAGGGGGTATGTGTCAATGAGTGGCCTTCCTGCCCATAGTAAGATTGTAATTGAACACAACAGTTAAATTGGAGAAAAGCATCTGATGGTTTCTGCCACCTTACAGTTAGATTAGATACTGTGTATTCCCTATTAATATTTATTTGGGAATAAGGAATTTTGACACGAGGCATTGGTGAGACAGTGGGAACATTAAATGAGTAAAGTCTTAAGTAGAACACTGAATGGGAATTTCTCATTAATGTTAATGAGTACTATTATAAATTTTTATATGAAAGTAATTATATTAGTTATCTTCTTTATTTTAGAATTATTAGATCCAAGATTTATGTAGAACCTCATTTAAAGAATAGTTGAAAGTTAGTTTACAGGTTCAAACATGTAGCGTTAACCTATCCAAGGCTCCCAAATGAATTGCAAGACGTTGCGGAGACAGCACAGAGGATCATATCATAATGTGTTGGACATTGTGCTCTCTTGGAAGTTGGAGATGATCCCAGGCTTAGGAGGCCATCAACAGCAACAGAAGACACACCTGTGATTACTATCAAGACTATGACATTTCATGGGCCTCGGTTTTCAGAATTCTAACCTCACATGCCTCTAGGTGGTGTTCTCATGCAGCATGACAGCATGCTGACGACAGTCTGATCTTGTGGGAAAGTATGAGTAGGAAGAGCTCCTTCACCTTTGTCACACGGTCCTGACTTGAGTCCACCAGACTGATTTTTTTCCAAATTGGAATAATCGCTGTATGTCAGACATTCTGGGAGCCTTGGAATTTCTGCAAAACTGATCAGACAATTTCAAGTATTTTTTTGGGTAAATGTCCACGTACAGACTTCAGTAAGCGGGTCTACTTTTATCTTTAGACAGTGTTGCTCCTTGGGGGGGGGGGGGGTTTTCAAAAATTTTTTCTGTCCAGCATGTAGAATGATATACCTAAACACACAGGAGAATCTTATTTGAATCACTTCCTTTGTTAATGTTTTCATCCTTCCAGGTAAAAGCTAAAAGAATACCTTGAAATTGACCTTGAAGTTTTTAATACTATATAATCTTTCCATTTGATACGGCCCTGTTAAATAATATGGAATAAAGTAAGATAAGTAATTCTGGATTCTTTTTTTATCCTTAGGTGACATCTTCAGCTCTCCAGTTGCTGGGTCTCTACACACATTGCCATTCCAAGTCTTGCGTCAACTTTTTGACTCTACGCCACTCACGACTGATGATGGGGTTTTGTTGCGTCGAACTACCATTGATATCGGTGCAGTACATCTCCTGTTGGGTTGCCTCTCTGTTTTTACACATCAATCACAAGACATAAATCTTCCAGGAGTTCAGCATGAGGTTGGTATAAAGTAGCAGAATTTAAAAATGAATGATTTTCTGAAGGGAGTTGCTTATGATTGCAGTTGTATAGACTGGTATCTGAAGATAATAATTGTTTGCTTGTACAATTTTGGATAATTTTCTGTGCAACAAATTTTAAGAATTACAGTGAAATGTGATAACACTCTCCTGTAGAAATTTGTTATAATGATAATTTATGGAAAGGCGTAACAGGTCTTATACAGTGAGCTCTTATTGTTGGTAACAAAAATAGGACATGATGTGAATTAATAAGTTACTTGGAAACTTATTTAGTAATCTCACCATAAAATGCATTTTTACCATTTCGAAGCAATCCAGTTTTTAAATAATATTCTACATGAAAAATATTTTGTGCATCACTAACACTAAGCTCTCAGTTTGTTACCCAAGGTTTCAAATGGAATCCCGTTTAGTTTCAGTCCTTCGGAACACTTTTATTGAGCTTTGTGTTAATGTCCATCTGACTGTCACTGACCCTCCCATCATACTTTCTAACTTCCTGTCGTCTGTACAACATGGCAAGTGTGCAAATGTCTTTAAGTGGAAATAATTGTAGCGGTATTCAGTGTAAGATTTTAAAATTTTGAACCATGATAGGCGTTTGAAGTTTTAAAACTTTCATTAACCATTTTAAAAATTGTATTCTTCCTACATAGCTAACACTTTTATGTCAGAATTTTGCAGTGTAATACAAAACTTTAAACTAGTAATGAAATATATAGCCAAAATATTGCAAACTCTACCACTGTAATTGAGAATTTAGGCTTCTGTGATGTGCAAAAGTTGAGAAACAGCAAGTGTGTTTAATGCTTGTTTAATTACACTTGTTTTTTGTTTTTTTTATTCATTAGAATGATTTTGCCATCTTCAATAGTGTGTTGACTTCTTTTGTTGGATGTAATGTATTTTTAATCACTGTAGATTGAAATGAGGCACATGCTAGGAATCTGTATGGAGTGTGAAGTCGGTATCCTGTGATATTAAATACTACATGGTAAACTTCATTTTCAGTTGGTCATTGCTGCCACAAAAGCCACTGCTATATGCCAGGACAGTCGAGGAAAATCTGATGACAAATCACATTTATATTGGGCTAAAGGAACTGGTTTTGGCACTGGAAGTACTGTACAGTCATGGAATGTGGAACAAGCATTGTTACGTCAACGTAGTGAAGAAGAGCATGTCACAGTATTGCTGCAGGTAAAACTTATTCATAGTCACTTGTGAACTACCAAACTTGCAATATTGGGGATATCTCCGATTCATCTGCAAACTGTGCATTTGAAAACTCCTTCGTGCTGTACAGTGTTTAAAGCTGAAATTAGCAGAGTTCAGGCTTGGGTTTCTTGAAGATTCCATTTTGCAAAGTGTAAACAATTGCCTCGATTTAAACAAATTTACACCCCACTGGAATTTACAGTACAGTTGTTTTTGGTCCATTAATGTGATTGATGAACAGTGTTTTATTGTGTAATGAGATTTTGTGCATGAATAGCTTATGCAGTATTTGAGTTATCAAAATAATTGCTGATTCTGTATATTTTTGATTTGCAAGCCTGTTCTTTTAAAATTTAGTATTCGATAATCCACAGCAAAACTGGAGCTGAATCAGAAAATTTCAATTTGCCATTTCCCTTTGTAAGTGACATAACTTGCATTGCACTTTGAAACATAAAGTAAGGAGAGTACGCAGGCTGACTGTTGAAGTATATAGAACCCTCTCCATATTTCCATTAAATAAATCAACCATACTGATATCCTTCTCAAATAACAAGACAAGTATCAACTGAAATCCACAGTGTAATTAATATAAGGTTGTTAAACAGCAAATTTGTTTCATCTCTGATCGAGTCCATGCTGAGACAAATGAGGTCTATGGTTGAAGATCAACGATTCTGGATATTTTATTTAAGATGTCAGGTCTTTCAAGAGTTAACATACTAATTAATGTTATGTTTAAGTAATTGACATACTTTACAAAATAAAATTGCTTCCGAAGTATATATTTTTTGCAAGTAAAATTGTCTTCGGTCAAATTCGACGAAATCCTCATATCAGAATGCCATCGAATGACGAATCACCTAAAAATAGAGGAAATACATTCTTCCCTTATACTCTTAGCCTTTCCGATGCTGCTTAGATAATACAGTGATAATACGAATGATAATACGTATAATTACTTTTTGCTTATTAGCAAAAGGTTACTGGACTGCATATGCTTTACAGACAAATAACAACTACGTATTGTCTCTTGAATATCACAGTCTATTTCCAGTTGCTGTTTGCATGAGTTCCACACAGAAATTTTGAAACATATAATTTAATAATGTGCAACTGCAGAGTTTAAATGAGTATTTGTGCGAATACAACACATACGTTACAATAAAACATGTGACATCAAGACTTGAACTTGCAAATGTGTTGTTTGCGTCAATGCTAACCTCCTACCACACCGACTTGTCTACCAGCAAATGTGGAAGGCCAAGCAAATTATTGTTTTTACCTCAATTTTGCCATGAGATGTGGTCACGCGTTGGTATCTTTGCATAATTGACATCTGTCATAAATAATCCTAATTGATGGAAGGTACGGAAAAATCACATATGGACAGATACAAGGAGTACAGATAAATAGGATTACATATAGACAGAACAAAGAGTTTATGAATGGTGGCCTGTTCGCTGTTGAAAACAGTGTTGAAGAAAATATTTGAGCATATGAGAGATGTAATTGGAGAATGTATTGAGGTTATTAAGTAATTTGGAACTTGTGATTTATACAGCTTATTGTTTGGGTAGTGCATGTAGGAGGCATTGTAAATGTATATAGTATTTTGGGGAAGTAGCTGAAAAGTTGACATTTTGGAAGACCAAAGAAATAAAGAGATTTACGTTAACTGAATCATAGGAAAATAGGATGTGAGGATGATAAATGTATGGAACCAGTTCAGAACATGTCCAAATGCATGTTTTTGTGATTCACTGTTAAACTTAGGTTCTTTTATGAGAGAATTAATGAAACAGTGAATACTAGCCTTAATATATGATGTTGTAAAGGTCATAGTTATTGTATTTTTATAACGATAGGTCATTTGGAAATTCACAAGCACCTGTCTTGTTCTTTGTCAGGTTTTGTCAAGTTATATTAACCCTGGCGGTGCAATCCCTCCAAACTTCTTCACGGTAGAAGATGAAGACGAAAGTGAGAGTGAGAGTGGACCAGAACAACCGCAGTTGCCCATGTTATTCCATGACCTCTTGCAGCAGTCCTGTCTTTTGCCGGCAGTGTCTTCATACCTTCGAAATGATTCTGGTAAGATCATAATAGAAACTTAAATTCTGAGGCATATTTGTATTGTGCAGGGGGATATTTGGTAATTATTGTAAGTAAAAGTAAAAGTTTGTCCCACTATACGCCATGTAGGCGTTTTTTTTTGGGGGGGGGGGGTGAGTGGAGGTATAGCTCCTCTCTTCCTTGACCTCGGCACTAGATGGGGGTGAGTGGTCAGCATCACGCCCCGGCCGGCTTTACCCCCGGGAAAGAACCCCGGTACCCATTGTAGAGGAGGCTGGGTGGGCCCCAGAGCCGGTCTGGACGCAGAGGCTAGAAGAAAAATCCTCTGCCCCCGTCGGGGATCGAACCCCGGCCGTCCAGCTCGTAGCTAGTCTCTATACTGACTGAGCTATCCCGGCTCATAATTATTGTAAGTACTGACTGAGATATCCCAGCTGACTGACTGGACTGAAAGACGAGTTCGTTTGTGATAGAGCAGGATTTTTCTCTTTGACACAACATCCAGACCATCTCTTTGGCCCATCCAACATCCTATCCAGTGGGTACCAGGTTTCTTTGCTCAGGTTTAAAGCAGCCAAGGCATGAAGGTGATCATACACCTCTATGTAATGCTGAGATTAAGAATTAAGCCCCAGGCATAAGTATTTTACCTTGTTCGAAATCCATTTTTGTACATAATTTATATTCATACTGATTTTCATTCCTCAGACAACCAGCTTGCAGCCAATGAATCTCAATTACAGCAGTTTAACAATATTACATTTTTGAAGAGCGACTTCCACTTTACTCGTTCCGTGACATAATCTACAGTCTGACAATATACATTACGGTTAACTTTATGTTATTACAACTTCACTGTTAGAAGGTGCAGTTCAGATCGAGTAGTTTTGCTAACATTCTCTTGAAACCATTGAAGTGTAGGTGTTTTAAACTAACTTGACTTTTTGATCTTATTGTGTGATCATGTAAGGTGAAACATGTAGTAGCAAAAATAAGAATAATTGTGAAGGTTGTGTAGACAGTCCAATTAATAATTCTTATGTATGTGTTTTAAAGTCTGTCGGTAGATCCCATGTTATGTACTGAAAAGTACCATATGCTTATCTTGCCATATAATGTCATGAAAGCAGGCTAAGAAGAACGGGTACTTTATTGTGGACTGATGTTAGTTATATGGTCAGGATAATGTTTACGATAATGCTGTAAACAACACTGTAATTATGTTACATAAGAAAGCATTTATGAAAATGCATTTATAATATTGTTAATTATATATTAAATCTTGTCTGTCTAATCACAATAATTGTTATTAAATATTAAAATATTACAATAATTAACATTTAAAATATTAAATGGTGTTCTTTATCGAAATATTCGATTTACATTAGACCATCATTTTTCATGTTTCACGACATGTTTCAGTTCCTAAAAGAACCATCCTCAGGTGTATAAAATTATATAAAGCTTCAAAACGATAAATAATTCAAATACAATTTTCATACATTATGCTAGCGTACATTTTTATCAGATTTTTACCAGATATCAAACGATGTTCTTTTTCAGATTTTTTATTCCATTTTTAATATCTTATGAATATTGTTAATGTTTGATGAAATTTCTTAATGTTTTTATGCGTAGTAACCTTGTAGGAAAATTGTTGGTTGTTACCATATGATTGCAGTTCTTGATATGGCAAGGCATATACCATTATATCGTGCTGTGCTACAACTACTTCGGGCAATGGCACTTAGTCCGCAACTTGTGTCACTCTTGCTGCCTCAGGACAGAAGACAGAAGTCATCTCACGGAGATGAACTGTCAGTAGTTTGTCTACTCACAAAGATGAAGAACTGTGTTGATACTTACGCTTCACGCCTTAAGTAAGTAAACATGACTTCACTGTTTTTTAATATATTTATTTATGTAGACAGGTATATGTAATGGATATTAAATTTAAGTGAACAAATGTTCTTTAACATTTTAAATAAATGCTGCAGTACTGAGTGATAGTTAACACACTTCCTCGTGGTTCACAGAAAAAAGAAATTCACTGGCCTACCAACAAGTTGAAAATATATACACCAGATTATTTTAAATCTAAAGGTGGCGACTGACTTGTAACATTTGCCTGTAATGTAACGTGTTACAAATCGAGCATTACACAAGTGAAGACAGCGAACGGAGCCGCTCACGCTCGCGGGCGCTCCATCGTGTTGTCGGTTTTTTCGCGAATCCCTTTGAGTGTTACATTACAAGTCAGTCAGTCAGTCGAGCGGCGTCATAACGAGCATTCATGAGTTCTTTAGATAAGAGTAGCGTATTAAATGAAACAAAGATAACACA